GGTTTGTGCGCAAGATGGACATCTTGCTGTGCAGGGGCCCTGTGGCTGGCACGTGGGAATTCCAAACGGACTAATGTCAAACTTCAAATGTTCAGAAAACGACTCACGGCACTGGATGGTGCATTACAGTACTCACTAGTGACAAGGTTCTGGATATTCTGGACTTCGCGCGTTTTCTCCATGTCTTGATGCTTTTGAGCTAGTCAACTGGTGTGATCGAGAAAGTCAATCGTACAGGTTTTGCATGCGGGCGGCTTCAGAACTCTGCTGTAGCGATTCACATCCGGCTCTTGGCACCGCACTCTTCGGATCGTCCAGGCAGACTCCGGACTGGAACATGGGCCTGCGAGAACGCTAGCTTGGGCCATGGATGGTGCTGTTTACGATTTTCAAACCCCGTGTCCTTATTGTCATTGGTAATATGCTTGTCCATTTTACACTGAATCGGCGTGACATACACCAAAAGAGCTTGAAGCCGCAAAATAATACAGATGGAGACAGGTTCTGTTTAGGCCTGGCAGACTGGGCAGCTTAGACATTTGCAGGAAGCAGTGCGTGCAGGAGGGAGAGAGACTTAGCACTAAACCCTGAGCCCTAAATCCTGAAGCCTAAATTCTATGAACTTCGCGAGACTCTTCGAGTCAAAGGTTGGAAGTATGGGCCCCAAAAATGCGCGCATAGCGTTTTCAGATCGATGTCTAAAGTTCCTTACAGGTATCATATTAAGGGCAGGTGTAGGTATATACATTTACCAGGAATGTACAAACCTTAGATAATTTCTAGGGACATCAATGTCAAACTTGACCGATCTCCTCGTTCTGCCTGTGGTCACTATCCTTGCTGTAGCTGTATGGTTCAAGTATACCACCTGGGACACTACGATTAAAGTTCTTATGGCATTGCTTCTGACTATGTCCCTTCTCATAGCGACTATTCCTGGTGCTGATGTTGACATTCTTCTCCTAGCCCGGCCTACCCCGTGTCCCAATCAAACACAGCTTTTGGAATCTGATGAACCCTAGCACCTGCAAGTCTGAGCTTCCACCATGATACGGCTACCAAAAGGATGATAATGACAGCCATACAGGTCGATACAAGGTACAGCCAGAATGGCTGTCCGCTTCTCAAAGCAGGTAATAGGGGAGACCAATGACGATTGGCTAAACCCTAAACACTAAACCGCATTGGCAGAAAGACCCTCAAAGTGGGACTCGCATCCTTCTTGCAAGCCATATACCCCCATCTGTCAATCCTGAGGACGCCATGGACAACTTGGGGGGGTCCCATGAGTTTGCGGGTTTTGGCATAGGATACAACAAAGGTATTGCTCTTGGGGCGTTTAACCCAAACATAGGCATATGTCCGTCTTCGATGGAGCGGTATCGCTTTTGGGGGGGTCCTATCGCTTTCGGGGCTTTTTGCACGATTTCCTTCATCTCACGGTATTCCTTCTCTTCGTCCCTGATACGTGAGGGTTGTCGATTGCTCATATGAATCCCCAGGTAGCAGGGAGCACCCCTATTTATCCCGAAATATCCCCACAAAGCACCTATCGCCCCCTAGTAAGATGTATCCCTAAGTCTCCCCAGACAACACCTATAACCCGTAAACCCGAAACCCCAAACCCTAAACCCCTAGTAAGATCAGAACCAGCATAAACAGCTCTGGGTCCCCCCGACCTCCACATGCAAGCCGAATCAGCCATGCAGCCGGATGCATCCTCCACCTCGGGCATGCAGTTAGGGTTTAGGGGTTTGGGGTTTAAGGTTTAATCTGAAGATGTAGGCTATACTCTAAATATCCCCCTTAATAACCCCAATTGGAGGGTTTAGGGTGTAGGGTTCAGGGCCTAAACTCCTAGCATCTCCCTGGAGATCTGTACAAACATGGCAATCTGAAGATGTACATATTGGGGTTATATAGGGGTAACGGAAAAGGAGATGGAAACTATTACATTATAGTAGGGTATGTATTCGGGCTATATGAGCTTCAGTCTAAACTCCTAGTATCTCCCTTAATAACACCTACATTACTCCCCTATGTGATCCCCTGTAAAACCCCCTTTAAGGAGTTCAGACTATAGCTCATGTAGCGTAACGGCGGCTTAGTGTAGCTCGCGATTTAGGGTCCAGGGTTTGTTGCTGTTTGTGGCGTTGGGAGTTCAAAGTTTCGGTAGCGAAGGAGGGCTCCTTGCTAAGGTGGCTCCTAAAACCCTAAACCCTAAATAGTAGTTTCCATTTTATTTTCCATCATCCCAATATAACCCCTATATAACCCCAATATCCCCCTGCTCTGAAACTTGCTGCGCCAGTTCATGCATTGTGGGGAGCTCACGGAGAAACCTGGACCGGATTCTTCCGGCCTCCTGGTTTGGAAAGGCACGATTCTGATTACCATACCATAATCACGATAATATACTGTAGGCAAAGGTGATTGTCACTGAGTCAGTTAGTAAGCAACAGGGCGTCAAAGTCATGAGGGTCGCTCTGGCTCACTGGGAGGCGATCACCATCATGATCCCCTACTGAATCCACGTTCTCTCTCTTCTACCTGTTCAGACATCCTTGGGCCCCCTCATCAGCCACGAGTTCCCTTGCTACTACCTCACAGTCTGCCTGCAAACTGCTATTTCAATCAGACGCAATAAGTAGCATAAGCACAAATAAGATCAACAACAACACCAACGCCAAGTATGATGTGCTTGGGAATCCTCACCGCAAAAGGGCGTCGTGCTGAATCGTGTTTGTTGCCAGCTGTCTCAGTTGTAATTATATTCATACGGGTAGATCTCAAACATGTAGGGTCAGTGGTACATCCACCAGAACACTCCTCAAGTCCTTGTTATGGGACACCAAAGTCCAGAAAATTTGAGCGGACCCTGCATGAAACGGGCCAAGAGTCGTAGCCGACAGCACATGTGGAGATGTTGCCAAGAGTCTCCAAATACTCCTTGCAAGCGACATAAGCACTACATGCAGCGCTGAGGGGTCAAACAGAGGTTCCGGTAGAGGAGGCCATAAAACCTTTTGAGACTGTAGCAAACCTTGCCGAAGCCCTTTCCTTTATGAAACAGCCCTAGGCCAGGGGAAATACACGCCCATCGAGGAACATGATGGGTTAAGCATGGTGGTAGTGGATCGTCGCAACTACAACTATAGTAGTTTCCATTTTATTTTCCAATATCCCTATATAACCCCAATATACTATAGTAGTTTCCATTTTATTTTCCATTATCCCTACATAACCCCATATACTATAATAGTTTCCATTTTTTTTTC